AACAAGAGCAGGTACATGGAGAGTATTCTGTAATGACACATTTCTATCCACAACATTGCCCATACCCGTGACCTTTAATTTCGACCCATTCGCCACCGTCAAATCAATATTTTGAACTGGAGTAACATCTTTCAACGCTGTAGTATCACACGTCATATGATTATAGCAAGCGGAGTCAAGTAGCCAGGGTGATCGATTTTTACCTGTGCCTTGCAAGGTTGCAAAAGCAGCACTGATAGCGGCACTCACGATCTGCTCGACTGTCTGCACCGATACACCACCACCATTACCATTTCCAGCAGCATTCCCACCATCTCCAGCAGCTGCTCGACTGCTGCTTGCCTCCCCCGACGTGAAGCCACGTCCACCAGCAGCAGGCCTGCGATAATTGTCCCCAGCTGGAGAATGCCAGCGAGAAGCATCGGCGGTGGAAAAGGCTCCATAGGCTGCCTTTTCTCCATACCCAGACCGAGAGTTCCGACCCGACACCGAACCCCCTTCTCGAGAACCTCCCTCACGCGATTCATTTCGCTCTTTTGTGCGGCATTCAAGTATAATGTGCCCCATCCGCTTGCAGTATACGCAAAAATTGCGTCGGCGACAATGCTTCTGTAAATGACCCTTTTCCCTGCAGTGATGGCATACCAAATCTGAGATTGGGATTCGTCGCTGGAATTGCGGTCGATCTACGGCATAGGCAGAGGGATCACGAGCTGTTCCGAGGTTGTGTTGGCCCGCGGCAACTGCGACCAGGGCCTCCCCTTCTCCCGGGCGCAAATCCATGGCAGCTTGTGTCCTTAGGCGAGTTTCCTCCCTAACCAGAGTGCCAAGTACTCCATCAAATTGGAGAATGTCACGGTTCAAAAGTGTGGCACGAACAGACTCGAATTCCGGCCGAAGTTTCATGAGAAAATCCAAGAGCCTGGTCTGCATTCGTTCAGCAATAGCCTCTTCAGTGAGAACATTGTGTGGTCGCAGAGCAGCATGGAGGAGGTCTTGCTCCGTCCAGAGTTCCTGTGAGGCATTGAAGTATTCGGAAATGGATCTATCTCCCTGTTCCAGTCGCGATAAAGCAGTCTGGACCTCAAACTGACGTGCTGCATTCACGGTCGAGTACATGACGGAGAGATGCCGCCACATACGATTTGCTGTCGGATATAAACGGAGACTGAGACAAGTTGAGGGATCTACCGAGCCAAGAAGCCACGATCGGATGCGAGCGTCGTTCTGATTCCAGGTGCGAACCTCTTGAGAAGTGGCCGCTCCTTCTGGTTTTGGCTGCGTCCCATCGAGAATGCCCAGCAGATCTTTCCCTTCGATGAACACACGGAATTGAAACTCCCAGAGTGCAAAGTTGGTTGAACTCAGATGAACGGTAGGCCGATCAGAATCGATTATCGGAAGCTCTGATACCATGTTGAATTATCTAACTGTACGGAAATTGTAAACGGACAATGAACACGGATTTACGTGGTATCCCTGGTTAACCAGGACTAATCCACGGAAGAGCGCTAGAACACTCTTCGGCTGTAGTTCTTACTGATGGAGTTTGATGATCGTACAGGAGATACAATGCAAACATAAAAAGACCCTAATGGCCGAACCCTAGCACCACAGGCACAAAGTCTCGACGTGGGCTAGTGAAGGTTGCATGGGCCGAGACTAACAGCTAATCCTATTGGGCCATAACACTTACGTACTAATAACAACAGGCAGAGTATATTTAACATCCGTATCATAAATAAATCTCTCTCCATAAGCACATTCGAGTTATTGAGATCCGTGAAAACCGCCGTAGGCGGCACCATTGGCTTGTGAAGGAAGTAATTAGGGGACGCGACACGCGAGGGCATGCTATTTAAACGACAGATCACAGAAGTGAGAAGACACAACCCGCGTCCTCCACGCGGATTAGCAAGGTGAAATTGATTACGATGGCTCCGGCCCAATTCTCTCAATTCTTTGGATTTTATTTTGTATAATTATTAATAAAAATATCTTCGCCTGTTGCCATTCATTTTATTACGTGTCTCTGTTATTCCTCTTTTCGTCGACATCGTAAAATTTGGTCCCAACCAACCACTTGGACTTGGTGATGAACATATGGGTCGATGCAACAAAATCTTTCTTTGGGCTACCCTATTATTTCTGCATGACTGCGACGGTGATTATTATTAATTAACAATCTTCCATGGATATAGAACGAACTAATTAGTAATTAATTAACTACCACAAGTCATGCATATATATATATAGGGTGGTGAATGGAGAAGACGTATGATCGATCACCTCTCATGTTGGCCTAGTTTTCATTTTCAAACAAACAGGTGTGGAAATTAGAATAGTTTGAATGATCGATAATAACATGCTATAGCCTATATATATGAGATTTCACAAATATCAAATCATCTAGAAGTGTCTATTGATGACAAGGACCACATGTTTTTATTTTCATGTGATTCTTGTAATGATATATGATAATAGCACTGCATAACGTTAATTACAAGTGGGAAATCTACCAACTTATACTCCACCCCTAGCAAGGGGATAGTAATCTGGTTAGCTACTGATGAGTGTTTGACGATACGGCAAGGAATATATTAACGCATGTTGATGTTGTTTGAATGCACGCGCCCCCTCGCACGCTTTCAGTTATTGCTGAACCGACGGTGTGGATACAACAAACTGTAGATACCAGTGCCGGAGCCACTCAAGGCCAAGGTGGGTCATTTGCACCACCTTGGCCCAAAAAATGTAGCAAACATTTTTATGGAATTGTAGATTGATGGTAAAAAATCTCCATATTATCATAAATATTTTATGAAAGTTTAATTTTTTCTACTCAATATTTAATTTTTAATTCATATGTTCCGTAAGTGAGTTTAATTTAAACAAAAACTTGAAACTTAGGGGTGGTTGTTGCTATAAGCCATTAATGCAGATGTTGAAAGAACACTTATTGCAATGGAGAAAGTGAAAAATTACTTTGGAATAAGATAAGTTGTGGACTCGTGAAAGATTTTTCATTGTGATATTTTAATATCCTTCATAATTTGCATGATTACTTTATTTCGAAAACAATTCAGAACATAAACACATACTGAAACTTAGTTTATATTTTTTTTTCTTCATATGTTGACCCACCTTAGATGAATTTCTGGCTACGCCACTGGTAGATACATTTCGATAATTTCAGCGGTATCTGTATGCATATGCATGCATGCTATCCAGTACAATTGCGAATAAGAGGGAGCATGCGAAACCCAGTTTGATGAATTTAAATATGCATGTATATACATCTGAACATCGATATTATCTTATTGCATCGTTGACCGTTGAATCACACATCGCATAGTTTACCATCACTAGGTGCAGTGGCGGAGCCAGGAAATTGGCCAAGTGGGTGTCTTTATCATATCATAAAAAATCACCTATACAATAGAAAAGTCAACTTTAAATTAAACAAAAAGTCAACAACGCAATACTCTAAATTCATACAATTACATTAAAATAGTTTCACGTACACCGGGTACAACGTCAAACAAATAAGTTCAGTACATACAAATCAAGACTTCCATTCATAAAATATTACAAATTAGAACTCAGAAGTACCTTGGAATTGATTTTGTGAAACAAACAAGTGAACTTCAATTGGTACTTCTTCACTTTCAACTTTGTTTAAACAAAAAAGAAATTTCTCTGTTGTAGAGCTACAAACAAAATGAGCGAGTTTAAACAAAAGACAACAATTTATTACTATAAATAAAGACAAAAGTGCATTGCATACCAAAACTCACTCGATCGAAATGGTAAGAAATTCTTCCTGCAACTGAATGGTCATTGATTCGAATTTGTATATACCCCTACTCGAAAAAAAAAATCTCCAAACCCAAGGGGTGCAAGCACCCCTCCTCTCCAAGTGGCTCCGCCACTGAGTAGGTGCGCATATGGTACCACCACGCCATCAAAATTGTGAAGATTCAAATCTTGGGCTACATTATACATAGTAGGTAGCTAGAAACCAGAAGGCGATTATGTTTAGATAAGGATATATGATTATGAAAGCCTAGCTTTGACAACGAAGCAGAAATGTGACGCCACTCCCCACTACTACGTACTCCCACTCCAGCTCGATACCTTTGTAGCTTTTGCCAATGGCGATCCCATTTTAAGCCAACTGCTTGCCTCCCTGCCCTATTAGCTCGTCGTTGCGTTGTGGAAATTAGTTGACAACCTAGCTGCTGAATCTGCGCTGTAAAATGAAATCATAATTAGTTCCTTGTCTCCCTGGAACCTTTTTCTCCTGTACTCTCGTAAGAGATTGAAACAGTTCAATTACAGCAAACATCTTTTGCTTTAATTAAAAAAAGGATTAAAAGTTAGGTGCACATCATATCAGAATACAGGGTGGATATCATTAAGGATTCTATATTACATACAAATGCATGGATAAAGATTCATTAAGCATATATACTGCCAAAAAGTTCCGAAGCCTATCTTAATTAATTATTAAAAGCTACGTGCAGAATAGAATACAGGGTGGATATAATATCATAAAGGTTTCTTCTACATAGCATATCAATTAGTAGTTGACAGTTATTATGAGTTAATAAGCTCTTATGTGTATATTAAAAAAACGATCACATGAATTTTTTGTTGTTGGAAATAGTTGATATTTCTTTCCCTCAAATAGTATATGAATGTATCCGTCTTGGCTGAATAAATATTTATCGGATGAAATAAGATTATGAAAGAGATATATAAAAAAAAAAATGTAATCTAACGATATCAGGACAATGTTACACTTTCAAAATGTCGAATTTCAGATCTTATAAATTGTATCTTATTTCTCTCCATATGGTCTTCGGTGTAATGGTATGACTCAATCAACATCAAATTACTTCTACGTGTCAACAACCCAATCTTATAGTTTGTAGATGGGTAGCCTTTTTGTTCGGCCTTTGTGGCTTTGTTGGTGGGAAGCCCTTTGTTCGACCAAGCTGGTCGAGCATTCGTATTTGGGCCGATTAGAGAGCTGAGCTAGGGAGATAATGGAATGGGCCTCTTAGTCAATGGAGGCCCAATATAGTAGCATTGCGGCGGGAAAATTGAATAACGGCTCGCCGTCGAGCTAGCGGAGACGAACTTCTCTCTTCCCGCTCGCCGTTGCATCTCCTGTTTGCGGAAAAGAAACTCATGCCGTTGAGCATTGACCGGCAAAAGGAAGAAGCCAGCAATTGACGACTTGGTTGCTGAGAAAGCAAAGGAAGAGGAAAGTGAGCGTTCTTTGAAGGACGTCGGTTTGCTCAGCTTGTTCCGCTGCCGCAGCCTGGTAATAAACTGTACACTGTTCGTCTTACGTCCTAGTTCGCTCCCAAACTTCTGTGTTTAGCGATTTAGTCAATCAATACACTGCAGGTTGATTCGAAAGCTTGAATCGACGTCGTGAGTTGCAGTACTCTACTTAATTCCAAAGCTGCATAGTGCATACCAGGTGTTCGACGAAAAGCCTCTGTAAGTTGTTGTTGAACAGTTAACTGTTTAGTCCGTGAGCACGTGCCTGGTTGGTTTATATCTATTGAAATTTGCATGACGTTTCAGATTTCGACGTTTACACGAGTAGCGTCGGCGGTTCAGTTGTCCTGGTTTGGCATAGAGGGTTTAACTTTCAGGAGCAGCAATGGCTGCTACTAAGACTCGGACAAGTAGCTTCTCTCGCAACCTACCGGCTGCATCTTCTGCTCAGAGCCCTGAAATCAAGTGCGGTCCTAATGGCACATTTTTTGTCTCCTCTGGAATACCTGATCTTGACAGTAATATAATCTGTTCTTCCTCTATTTTCCTAGAGAACGGAATTCCTTTCTTCTTAATTCATATAATGACAAGTGGTTTCATTCGACAAATGCAGAGACGCTTGGTGGTGGAATTCCTTTGGGAAGTTTGGTCATGGTGATGGAAGATTCAGAAGCACCTCATCACATGCTTTTACTGAGGAACTTCATGTCTCAAGGACTTGTTCATAAGCAGCCTCTTCTCTATGCCAGTCCGTCCAAAGACCCAAGAGGATTTTTGGGTACTTTGCCTAGTCCTTCCTCCCCCAAAGACGATAAGTCCCGCAGTCATGATGCAGAACAGGTCCTACGCTGCAACTGATCTCTACATTCTGGTTGTCACTATCTCAATTTAGTCTATGCTATTCACTTTGCAATTGATAATGCAGGAGAAGGGTTTGAGAATTGCTTGGCAGTACAAGAAGTACTTTGGTGAAAATCAGTCAAACCTTGATGCTCAAAGAGGCATGATTTTGTTTCAGTATATTGATCTTTGTGTTTATCTTTGGTGCGGAATGAAGTCGTTTGATAATCTTATGTTCATTTATTGCAGATAACAAACAAGATTTCTCGAACGAGTTTGACCTGCGGAGGCCATTGGATAGACATTTCTACACCACGCAGCATGTAGATTGTATTAGCACCCATGACCTACCAAATCTTGCTCCACTTCAGGAGCGCTGCACTTCGTTTTTGTCACACTTTCCCAGGTACTCTGTGAACTTTCTGACAATATTTTGAGCGATTCCTTGACTTCGGGCTTATCATTCGGGAACTTTGTATCCTAGAAGCTTCCATCTTCAGAGGAATGGACAAAGGAACATGCATGTTGTCTTCATGCATAATGCAAGAAACAACGACAATTGTGTTCTGTATGTCCCTTAACATACATCTTTTACTATTGACTTTGTTGGCCTTACCAATCTTCTACTTGTCATGTTCAGAAGTGACTCGAACATTGTTTGCACTGGCCGTATTGCCATCCAGTCTTTATGTGCACCCCAATGTGAAAACTCCTCCATGGTCAGCAGCAGTCCTCATTTAAACCTGATTACAGATTGCTTTCATTATAACTTTCTTTCATAATCTCTTTCTATTTAACCCTCATGCCCAGCAAACCTTAAAGTGGTAAAAAGAATGTGGATTCTTGTAGGAATGGGAAATGCTTTCCTTTATTAGAGCTTTGAAGAGCACTGTGCGGTCTGCAAATGCAGTTGCTATAATTACATTCCCTTCGTCCCTTGTATCACCTTCCTTCTGTAAAAGATGGCAGCATCTAGCAGACTGTCTGGTGTCGGTCAAAGCAATCCCAGGTTTGTCTTAACGTTTTCCTTTCTGTAGTACTTCTGCAAATCTAATGTTTTGGGAGTTACACGCTGAGGATTTTTCTTTCCACAGATGAAGACAAGGAGTTGGCGAAACTCCTCACGGGCTACCAGGATATCGTCGGCTTTCTTAACATACACAAAGTGTCACGCATCAACACTCAAGTAATAATATGGCTCTTTGTTCAGTTACATCTGTTTATTGATGGACTTTTGAGAGTTTAGAAACCGAGTCACTATTGCTAATTCCGAGTTGTGATCAGGTTCCTGCAGTTCTGGAGGCAACAACGCTTTCGATAAAGCTTCAAAAACGTCGGTATTTGGTTTTGGAATGCTTGAATCAAGCCCCGATTGATGGTTCTGGTGGGACCTCTTATGGCACGTCTGGAAGCTGTTCTGGTTCCTCCTCCAAGTCTGGCTCCCTTAACTTTTAGAACAAGGCACCCCAGATGCTATTGGTATTGCCCTACCGAGTGTCATTCCATGTAATCTTCGGCGATAATACCAGCTCGCAAGGCATGCATTCATGTGATTGGTTCTCTCGTACTTCTCGTTTTTCTGTTGCAGGAATCTGTCATGTGCATTTATTTAATAGAATAATTATTTAATTAGGAGTTGTTATGGGTGGGGATTATGACGTGATTAGTGGGAATTAGTGGGTTAGTGGTTACCTAGAAGTAGGGACTTAGTTTAGGTTTGCTTTGTTGTTTCTGTTAGTTCAGTATTTTGTAGGGTTATTAGTTTTGTATTTAAGGTAGCAAAGTGACAGAGGAAAGGAATCAATGAAGTATAATCAAGAAAAGGGTTTTACACACCTACGTGTTAATTTGGGAGGTTGGCTTTCCTCGAAAAAGTTTAGGGGTTCCGTTCTCGCCATTAAAGAGAACACTTCTCTTCTACCATTCTATTAATCTTTCTCCATTCTTATTCTTCATATCCCGATCTTTCACCCTAAATTCTATTCTCCGAAAAGGGCACATAACAGAATCTTCACCAGAGACATTGTTCATCGTTGGGAAAGTCTCACCGGAGGTGGTTGTCGAAGCGAAGAAGTCGAAGGGGATATTCGACATCCTAGCTTGGATCGACATTTGGTTGGACAATTTTCGGCTGGAAGCTCGTCGTGGCTCCTTAGATTCCGCAGTGGTGAAGCTTGGAAACAGAGATCAGTATCTCGTTTCAGTTTTTAACTTATTATTATTATTATTACTACTAGATTAGGGCCCGCCCGTTGGACGGGTACATTCAATTAACTACATAAAAAAATAGCAAATGTTGGAAGCAAATATGCACTTTTATTTGGCATGATAAAAGAATCTAAATCATTCAGTTAGTGACAACATAGAAAAATAAACATATATATAGAGTTTTTCGACATCCTAATCGATTCGTATACATAAGAATGAAATTAAAAAAAAAACTAAACACAAAGGATCATGTAGAGGTTTTGTCTAGAAATCATACCCGATGTTGTCGTACAATTCCCACAAAAGTACTCGTCGAAGTCTTCTTCACCTTTTCATGGACAGTGTTCGCATTAAAACATAACACCACTCGTTCCTATTTTGAAAAAAGGTTAGCATTTTATTGTTAATGAGATAGTAAATTGCAATTGATATATATACCTCATCTCTATTCCTCGCTCCAATTCGTTGAGCTCTTGCAATATTTTGGTATTGATCGATGGTTGGGATTCGGCTTTGACTCCCATTAGAGGATGTGGTGCATATGCATCACTTTTATTATCGAAGTTTTATTTATTGTAATACCCTTTTTTTTAAACTCCTGACTTATAACACACAACAAAATACATAGATTTAAATTACATGAATTTCACTTTGACGCGAAATCAATAATTCCCAAATTTGTAGATTCAACAACGGCAAGGTAGCTACAAATGAGAAGGGCTTCCATTTGCGAATTTGATTATCAATTAATTAACAAAGCTAATAGACGCACAAATAAAATAATAATATATATTTTCTTACCATATATAACATACAAATATTATGATCAAGAGGATCATCAACATTTGCCAAATTGACATTTATTGTCCTACCCATGGAATAACTTTCACAATCAATCACTTGTACCCAAATTGTACATTATGCTCGGAATCATAGTTTAAATAATGCATGTAATTTTAAGGGTTATAGGTATAATATGACCCTCTACTATGACGTTTTATCAAACATGCCCTTCTACTATTTTTTATATCAAACATGCCCCTTTACTTTGTAAAAATGATCAAACATGCCCTTTTGTTTAAATTTTCATCCAAAAACCGTTAACAAAGGTCGGATTTTGGTTTGGGCGGCACAAATGACTAAAATATTCCTAATAGTTTCACTTTAGAATTTTTTTAGTTCTTTTGTATAGCCAAATAATTCGAATAATTTCACTTTGAATAGACCCAGAGAAATAAAACAGGAGACAAAACTGACATTTTCGCTCCCATTTGCCGATGTCGGTTCATCTTAATCTCGGTTCAACCATGATTGACGATTTTTTCAATGGAAATTTTAACAGAAGGGCATGTTTGATAATTTTTTCAAAGTACAGGGGCATGTTTGATGTAAAAAATAATAGAGGTGCACGTTTGATAAAACGTCATAGTAGAGGGGCATATTATTCCTATAACCCTAATTTTAAAATGCAAGTTTAGTGAATCATATGCTCGAAAAGCTTTAGTTGAATCTCTTTACGCTTTCGACTTATATAAAAATTATGGTTTGTCTTGCTAATTTTGTCGATGGTTGATCAATTCTCTTTTTGTCAAAAAAAAAAAAGATCAATTCTCTTCAACTTTGACTTATGTGAATTAACTTATGACAAATATGACAAACAATAATTTTGTAATTTCAAATAATCAAAATAATTATAGTGATTAGAGTTATTATTGATGGTCATACTATTAGAAAGATTATTTCCCACTTTATGTATAGATTAGTGAGAGTCAAACATGAATTCTGGTACTACAAAAACAACTTTCCACTTCCCTGAACCACACTCGATATGAATACACACTAAACTGCAAAGTGCATGTAATAGAGACTGATAAATATATGTACTTGTGTTCAAGGTTTAAAGACTGAATTGAATCATTGTTTTGCTAACTTGATGATTCTATGCAGAGAATATTTTTATTCATTGGTCTGAACAATTTTATTTTGTGTAAAATCAATTTATCTTTGTACCTTACTATCTTCAATTTCTAAAATGGTTTGTTTTGTTGTAACATCCTACAATTAAATATTCATAGTCTCATGAGTATACTTTTCATGTAGATTTATAAGACATATATAGACGGAGTATAGACTCAGTTCTCAATCAAAATACTCAACCATCAATCACTATTTTGATAGTTTTCATAAACAACATATATATCATATCCACTCATGATCGTTCAATTATCTAATCTTGACATCTCCAATATAGAGGTTTGTAAACTCTCGATGTAAGACATTATGCCTCGATTTATCAAACATAATAGTTAAGCTCATTATCTTATAAAATATGCCTTAACTCATGATTCTCAAAATTAGGAGTGACTCTCAACCAACTTTTATTGATCATTGACTTAGTCTATCATAGGATTCTTAGCAAAGATGTCTGATCTCTGGATAATTTTTGTTTATCTGAATTCATGGCAATTGACACATCATCCATGGTTCTTTCCTTGACATGAAATTTTATCTATCGATTCCGAATTATAGCACACGCTCTGAAAAATTAAATATTCTTGGTAAATATTATATATTAGTAATTAATAGAATATGTTTATGATATATAGCGGGCATATGAAAAGTTGTAGCAGTTGAACAGTAGATTGATTACTTTAAACCAATGTGTTAGAAATCGTACTATACCTGAAGGTCGGATCGAAAATACTGAACCCCAAATATTAAGCAATTTTAGTCGTACAAAATTGTTGAACTGTATTTTAGTACAAAATACCTTACCACTAATTTTTACGATTAACTTCTGATACAGTCTCACAATCATTGCTTCAAACAAAATCATCTGTAAACTAATATACAAACTCTCAGAAACATTGTAATATTTAATATGTTGTATAAACCCAAAAATGAAAGAAGAGTCCTTCTTGAAAACATATTCTACTAATAAATTTTGGAATATATTCGACTATTAATATTAAATGAAAGATGGGTCATTCCAAGAAACATAAACCTAATCTCAATAGAGTTCTTATTTTATTAGGATAATCTAGGGGATGCTGGCGGATTTTTTTTAAATAATTCTTCTATCAATTTTTTTTACTTTTAGTATGCCAAAATTCCCCTTCCTACAATCACTCAGAGAGCTGGAAATTTTGAATGAAAGATATTCTATGGAGAACCTCCATATAGTATTGGTATGATGATGATGATTATTCAGTTGAGAACCAGATGCATCATTCTTTGCCATCGTTCACAGCCCAAGTAGCAAGAGCTGTGGAGCTGAACCTAACTCATTCATTTCTTCCCTAGAAGGTGTCGGGGATAGATATACATTTTTCCGTAGTTCAAGATGTATCTTTGTCTACCGTTCAAATCCCATCAAGGGAAAACACAGGCATGTATAGATGTTCCATGCCATATCATTTGGGCTGGGGCCGCCACTATGATGACCTCGCAGACATGCTAAACTCCTGGCTAGGCCTGTCTATTCGGTTTCGGATTTTCGGTTTAACTCGAACCCGAACCAATATAAACAGAGTCGGTTTCGGTTTTTTCGGGTTCAATCCGATACATACAGCATCGGTTTTGGTTTACCAAAACCCGCAAAACCGAAAACCCGCAAAACCCGATAGCATCGCACGCTGTCGTCGTTCAGCCCTACCCTAGCCTTCAGCCATTCCGTCGCCGTCTCTTCGATTTTGGAAAACGAAACAGAGGACAGAGCCTCCTCGGCCCTCGCTTCAGCCCTTCACCTCGTGCCGTCTCCGCCATCATCGTCCTCGGCGCGCCGCCATCATCGCTTCAGCCCTTCACCTCGTGCCGTCGCCGCCATCATCGTCCTCGCCGCGCCGCCATCATCGTTCACCACCATCAAGTATGAACTTCGCTCTTCGCCTCTGGGTTCGAAGCTTCTGTTCCTCCAACTGCAGGCACCGGCGGCCGCTAAGGATACACTCCTACGACCAACCAAAGACGAAAACCAATTTCAGAAACAGGGGGATTGCGACAAAATAGACTTCAAAGGTTAACTCCAGACCTTCAATTTGATGGGTGGGATTTATCAATTTGTGGTGGTGGTGGGTGGTGGATGATATTATTCCAGAGATGGGTTTGATCTATCTCCTCCAATCTCCCTCAGACTCTGCATGCGCCAAACAAGATAAGAAACCTCCCGTACCTTAGGTTGACGATTCCAACAGCTGAAATTCTTCACCTCCGACGGCTCGCCTCCGTGTTCGTTTGAGAAAATTGGAGAACGATTGACAAAATTGAAAGAAGGGGTTTGCTTATTGACGAACAAGAGAAAGGAAGGAAGAAAAAGGGGGAGAGACGAAAAGGACAAGGCGAAGAAGAAAGGAAAACCTCGAAGAAAAGCCAACCGAAAAGGAGAAGAGGAAAAGGAAAAAAAACCCAGAAACCACCAGTGATTTTTTCGGGTTTCTGAACCCGCAAAACACAAATTCGGTTTCGGGTTTGTGGGAGCCGGTTTCGGGTTTCGGTTTTTTGCGGTTTTCGGGTGCGGTTACCCGACCCGACCCGACAGGCCTACTCCTGGCAGCTGGCCTAGACTACCGATTTAAGACCAAGGGAGGGCTGGATGCAAACCTCTATTTCATTCCTTTGCT